TCGGCCGACGCGGAGTTTCACACTTTACCGCTAATCTAATTATGAAATTGGAGACATAATTGGAGGTGAGACGATTACAGTCGATTAGTACACGGACGTTTCGGCGGCGCGTCCTCGGAGGAGTATGATTCCGTCGTAAACCGTCCGGTTTCCCTATCGTTAGGCCCTATTAAACGGAGCATAACGGTGGAGCCACACGAGGGAGGTCCGCGAGCCACGGCGGAGCCCGGCTACGCAGCGGGCCGAGATTAAGGGGCTGTTTAATCTGCATCCATCGCGATGATAGGTAACGCCGGGGAATCATCGTGGGGGCCTCCACGTTAACCGAGTTAGTTACAGGAAACCCTGCAATTAGGGATTGTTAACTGGATAAAACCTTACGCGTGCTGCGCGTGAGGGGACGCGGGAAAAAAGGAGGACCGGCTGAAGGATGAGGAGCGACGCGGCTCCTGCGTCTCGGGCAACCCTTTATCTCTCGAATATCGTCCGCGAGGGATCATCGGACCGTTGACCTTTGCGGTTTCCAGAATTTCGAATTCCCTATTTTATATTTCACCGATGAATCAACATTCCGCTAGAACTGGAAGCAGCAGCTGTTTTATAGATGTCCTGGATGATACGGAGAATCATGAACCTAACGGGTCACCCGAATAAATCACATTCTGAAAATCAGCTTTCTGGAAGGCAGCCGAGTGCGACGGTTAGCCAGCTACCGATCGCTAAATTCGTTCCGACGCAGACAGTTATTAGGTGGCTAGACCCGGTGTAAAACGTCGCCATAATGATCGGTTGCTAACTAACCGGCTCCCTCTCCACCGACCGGTGCCCGCGGTGTATAAACATATTCACGTGTGCACACGTATATACAAGTGGACCGGTGCACTTAGGCCGGCGGGACCTGCGGGCACCGCTCGATACTGTTTACACCGTAGTAATTTGCTAATGGCCAGGCCGACACGATGAATTCGGGATCGAGCGGCTGCGTGGTCTGCATCCCGATCGCGCCGCGATCCGCCGGGATCCACGGACCCACGCGGCCCGAACGATCGTGGGGATCGATCACCGAGAGAGGCCCGGGACACGCCTCTGCTCGTTCTCGTCTCGCTCTTATCGTTTGCCGCGCGTTATCGATCGGACGATTTCGGGGTCCTCGCGGAGCAGTTGCCTCCAATGAATTCTTCGCTCGATCGTCGATCGTTGGAGCCTTAATAGTTGGATTTTTCTAATTTCGTTGTAGGAACTCTGAGAGAGTAGCTGTTCGGATCGATTTAATATGTTTACTAAAATATTTCTATAAGAACGAGTTTCTAAATTCTGTATAGATATTATCGATCTAAAATCAAATCTAGTTGTTTCCAATGAATTCTTCGTTCGATGGTCGATCGTTAGAGCCATGATAATTGGATTTTTCTAATTTCGTTGTAGGAATTCTGAGAGAGTAGCTATTTGGATCGATTTACTATGTTTACTAAAATACTTATGTAAGAACGAGTTTCTAAATTCTCTAATAAATAGATATTATCGGTCTAAAATTAGCTTATTCGCTAACTATAGGAGCACTGAGGAAACAGCTATTTGTATCAACTTGCAATCCGGTCTGAGTGTTACTAAATCAGTTCGGTAATTTCTCACGGAAGATTCCTCTAAGGGAATTTCTATAAAAACCATCGAATTTCTAAATTCTGTAATATGTAGATATCGATCTAAAATTAACTCATTCCCTAACTATAAGGACACTAAGAGAGCAGCTATTCGGATCGACTTACTAAATCAGTTACTCCAGTAATTCGTTACAGAAGATATACCTCCGAGGTACCTCCATAAAAACGAATTCCCAAGTTCCGTAATACACAGATATTATCTATCCAAAATCAATTTCTCCGGTGACTCCTAAGAAAGGCTTCATCTTCCCAATAACCGTGAATCAACTAATCAAGATCCGATCGAACCGCTCGGGACTCCTACTACCGAACACCGATTCCATCGGTCCCAATATCGGCGTCGTTAATTTACCGTACAGGTTCGAAGCGTCGTGAGCGCGTAACGGTCGAGCAAAAGAAAAACGATCACGCACGAGCCGGCGAGGAAAGCATAAATTAGATTAACGTAGAGCGAATATCCTCGCGACGGCGTCGCGGTATCTCCGCGCGGATCTCGAGCGTTTCGACGGTCGGATATCTCGAAATAGATCGTCGGACGGAAAAGAAAGAGACGGAGGGGAGGAAGAAAACAAAGGGGGAAAAAAACGAGGGAGCAAGAAGCGGCGCGGCGAGCGGCACGTAACATTTTCAGAAAATTAGAGTGCAACGCCGGTGTTACGTGTTGCGGAAGGTGTCATTAAACCGCGTCTATTACGCGTTTAGCCTGGAATCGCGTTAGGCTCGCGCGTTATATCGCTCTCCCCTCGACCCTTTCGCGGGCGAGTTTCTCGATCGGCGCGCGCACTTAAGGCCCCCGTCCGGTTTCGGTCCAGACCGTCCCAACCGCCCGCCCGTCCGTCCGTCCGTCCGTCCGGCTGCGGTGCACTTAAGGCCGTGTCAGTTTTGATCGGCGGATCATTTGGACGGTAACCGTTCGATTTATCAGCGCGAGGATCGTTAGCGCTCCGAGGGGAGCGCAGGCATTCACGACTCCGCTAATTAGCTGACGCGCATTAATGGGCCGGGACTCCATTAAACTGTAAAATATTTAAATAACTCGTCGACGGGCGTGCCCGGCCGCGAATTACTTGTCATAAGTCAGCCCCGGAGTGGCTGGAAGCTCCTCGGGAACTCCTCGCGGCGCGAGCACTCCGGTAATGTATGTGCCAGGTAATGGCGCGCTTTCGTTCAGGAAGTTGACGAGCCTGTAAATTAATACCCGCTAGACCGTTCTCGGATCCGGTAATCGATAGAGGAAGGAGGTTTTCGTTGAATAAAGAACGCCGATTCGTTTTTCAATTTTCACTTTTTTCCCCACTGCTCTCTGTTTTCTTACTTCTCTGTTTCTCTTTACTTTCTCTCTCTCGCTCTCTCTCTCTCTCTCTCTCTCTCTCTCGCGATCGCTCGTCATTTTTCTTTCTCTTCTGTAACGTATCTCTTTCTCGTTCCGTTGTCGTTAATCATTCTTTTATTCGTCGCTGAAGAAAAGGGGGAGGATAAATGGATTTCTAAGATTATGAAGGGCAATGGACGCCGGAGCGCGTTCCCTCGGCTAGACGGACGAACGATCGGATTCGATGATTGCTCGAGGTGTTACGGATGTCCCCTTCGATCGTCCGTCGCGAGAGGGTCGAGGGAACGAGCTCGCCGGTCTTGTCAAGCGCTCGCGTAATCGGTCGCAAAGGTTTGATCATCGGCAAAGTTACGCATACGTCGTCAGAATTTTATTTACACGAGGGCTTACAGTAGGCTAGGAATGCTTACACAGTCGGTAAAACTTATCGCGGCTATCGTTTAATAGTTCCTCAAATCATAGAACGCGTATATAAATAGTAGTTTCTCCTTATCTAAAAACATTGTATGACGGCTCGGTGTAAAAGTAAAACGGGCTCGCGCGTCTCCCTCGAACCTGGCCACTTGACGCGAACGTTCTCGGCCGCGACGGTAGCAGGACAGGGCGGTTCGGCCCCTTAAAAGACAAAAAAAGTTGCGTTTCCTTTCAATGATAAAATCTCGCGTTAAAAAATTTTCGTTCCTCGACTGCCCGACGAGGACAGCCGGCGCTTATCCGACTCGATTGGAGAATATCGTTCGACGGACGAACGCGCTCGTCGCGACATCGAGAATCTCTCTGGACGGACATCTTTCGATGATGTTTACTCGAAGCTCGCCTCGCGGTCGTTGAACACGACGTTCCCATTCCCTCGGTCGGGCGGGCGACCCACCGGTCCCTCGATCATCGTCCCGCGGGACGCGTCTTTGAAATCTCGACGCGTCGAGCGCGACCTCCGCGATCGCGCGAACGTCCGGAACGAACAGCCGCGACAGGCCAGTTTCGAGCGTTCACGGATCGCGAGGCGCGGATTTTAAAGACGTCCCGGGGCGAGCGTCTCTTCTGTACAATTTTCGCTGAACGGGTCGCCGCGCTGCTACTGTACATTATATACAGTACACTAACGTAAAAGCTATAAAACAGAATTTCGTTCGTCTTTTCGTCTTCTTTCTCTCTCTCTCTCTCTCGCTCACGTGGTTCCCTCCGTTGAGAGCCGTTCGAACGTGGACAGGACGTGTCGCGTCGGTCGTGGGGAAGGTTGAAGAAGCATTTTGTACGTGGACAGGTACGCGCGTTATCGTTCCTCCCGCGACGAACGCGGCGATCGACCGTTCGGATCACGATCCGCGCGAAAAGAGCAGCGACATCACCAACGACCACCGGGAAACGTCGAGCTTTCGGAGTGGTCGTCCGAGTTGCCAACGCAGACACAGCGATCCCATCGGTCCGGCGTCTCCTCCGACTTACGTCGTCGTGGAACCCCCGTCCGGCGCGTGCAGCCGGCGGCTCGTCGAAGCGACGCGCTGTTCGAATTCCATAGGAGGCGCGCGCGCGTGGATCGGTACGGATGACA